GTGAGGTCGGGACGGCCCCGGTGAGGTTGAAACGGCCCTGGTGAGGTCAGGACGGCCCCGGTGAGGTTGGGACAGCCCTGGTGAGGCTGTGACGGCCCCAGTGAGGTTGAAACGGCCCCAGTGAGGTTGAAATGGCCCTGCTGAGGTAGGGATAGCCCCGATGAGGTAGGGATGACCGCAGTGAGGTCGGGACGGCCCCGGTGAGGTTGGGACAGCTCCAGTGAGGTTGGGACAGATAATGGGGACCAGTATAGACTGATGAACAGGGGTAGATGCAGAGGCAGAGCAGCATTGAATAGACTGTCAAACTACAGTGGGAAGCCTGGGGAGGGTTTGGGGGGTTAAGAGATCAAACGAAGGACTTATATGCATGCATATAAGAATAACCAATGGACACAAGACACTAGGGGGTAGGGGAGGCCAGGGGAATGTCAAGGGGGGGAAAAAGGAGACATATGTAATACTCTTTGTAATACTTCAAGAAATAAAAATTATTTAAAAATGAAAAAAAAAAAGAGAGACAAACCAAGAAGAACAAGGGAAGTTGTAGAAAGTTAATGGGAAAAAAAGAATATTAAGAAAGGAATTTTATGTATAAATGCTAGAACCTAATTATGGGAATGAATCTACACCCAACTTTAACAAATACTACTAATTATATTAATTCAAATGGAAGCTGAGGTGGCTATAAAAACATGGCCCTCTGTAACTGCTGCTGAGGCACAGAAATTTTATTTATGAAACTCTTACTGTCCACTTGGATTATGGAATGTTTAGATGGTAATTATAACATACAGCATTATGTTCTTATGTTTCTGCATAAACTTTAAAGTTACAGCTTCCAATTGCACAACTAGCAGGAATCAAATTAATAATTAAAGGCACTAAGTGCTTCTAATGGGAAGTAGATGAGCCATAGTAAATGGGAACCAGTATCATGATCAGATTGTGAAAACTGAAGAGGTGTATAGTGTGTCCTCAAAACTTGATCTTGATAGCTTATAGGTTAGAAATGATCCAGAGTGTTGTTGTTTTTTTAATGGAGGCCCATAAGACCTGACTGCCTCTCATTTATCTGATTTTCACTTTTGAGAAAATTTGGCCTTGACTGCCATTCAAGGTCACAGTGTTTCCCCATCCCCAATGGTTCATGGGTAAATAAGACCAACGCTGACACTAAGATTTCCTTGGAATGAGCCTTCCTAGCACTGTGGAACCTCATTATTTAACCAAAAGGTTGATCATCAATGCAGCCTTTAGATTGATTTATGACTAAAAGGGGACCACATACTAACCCTGGTAAGATTAGGAGAGGCCTGTGTGGTAGCCTTACAAACTCAGAGACCTAAAGTAAACACATAGGATGGTCTGAAATTAAAACTTTCTAACTAAAAACAAGTCATGTTGGATAGTCATGTCCTAGGCCAGTATCTTCCCTGAGAAAGGTCAGTCTTTACCTTAACTGAGCCTGTCTATTTTTTTTTTTTTTTGCATCTACCATGACATATCTTTGGAATATCAGGGTAATGTCCCTTTGTCCAGACTCATTACTGCACCAGAGCAGTAACCACAAAACTCCCCATTGTTATTGTGTTAATTGTTAGCTGCTAACTATCCTGTACCAACCAATGTAAAAGAAGTCTGTGTCTATTTGTTTTACTTTTTATCCAGTCTCACAGATTTCCCTGCTTTGCTTTTTTCCGGCCTCCCTAATCTAGCACCAATGGATTTCATGTAACCCCTTATGCCTCCCCCTTTGATTGTAATGTATAAAATAAGGTACAAAACTGCCATTCTCAGAACATTTTTTTCAATCCATGGACATTTGTTTCCTGGCAATTGTCATCAGTTTGGCTCAAATAAACTTATAAAGTTATAAATTTCTCTACGGGTGTAAATGTTTCTTAAGTTGACAGCTGAAAATTCCAAGCTTCTAATCAAGATTTGGTCTCCATGGCAACCTGCCCTCACCCTGCAACTATCCAGAGGCCTGTCAGGAGTTGCCTCATCGGGACAAAAGACACTCTTATCTCCCTTGTCACTGAGAAAATTTCCAGAGTTTTAGTTGCTCAGTTTTAAGAACCAAAAAAGAACACCAAATATCTTTCTATGATATCACATGAAGAAACCAACTTTTTTAAGGTGGGATCACTTGCCCAGAGTCACATAGCCTGTAAGTGGACTCAGATATGCCATGTATTGTCTATTGGCACTTGACATCTATGCTGAACCCTTTCTATGTTTCCTCCTATACCAGAGGGGCTGAAAGGTTAAATACTACCTTCCCCACTTCTAATGACTGGGAATCCAGGAGTGAATTAAATTCAGCCTCTGAGATGCACTTGTGTGTAGTTTGGAAGCTGGATGGGAGATTATTTTTGCTAATGTGTTGACAGATGGGTGGGCTCTGCAGGTGTTTGTTTGTTTGTTTGTTTGTTTTTTACCTCTGGGTGGGGCTGTAACAGTGGGACCTTGAAACCAGACTTCCAGTGGCAACTCCCTAACTTCCATTTCTCTAGCCCTTCAATGGTTTTACAAGCACCTAATTCTTTGTGCTAAAGACCTTTCTGTACAAATGTTCATAGCAAGTTTATTGCCATAACCCAAAATGGGAAATAACACGAATGTCCATGAACGGGTGAGTGGATAAGCAAGTTTGGTGCATCCCTATAATGAAATAGAACTAAGGGATAAAAAAGAAATAACTATTTCAGGATAATCTTGTTGAGTCAAGAAGCCAACTGTAGCCCAATATTACATATTGTATGATTCAAATTTAGAAAAGTCTAGAAAATGTAAACTAATCTATAATGACAGAAAACTGATGAGAGTTTCCTTAACACTAGGGAAGAAGGTGGGAGAGAAGAATGATGAGATTTTAAGAGGGCCTGAGGAGGCTTTAAGAGTGAAGAACACGTTCATTATCTTCATTGTAACAACTTCTCTGGTGCACACTTCTGGCAAAACTTATTAAATTATATACTTTTAATATTTTAAGTGTATTATATGTCAACTTTAACTCAGTAAATATGTTTAAAATTATATATACACATGATATATTCCTTAAAATATAAGTTGAATAGAAAATACAAAACTCAAAAAAATACCTAAATGTAGGGCCTGTAGGGAGGACAGGCCCTTGGGTAGATTAGGAATCACTCACAAGGTGGAAATAGGGAGCGTTGTGATTTTAAGGGAATAAAGGGAGGTCTGACCTCTCACTGTAGCATGACCTTTTTTTGCTCATTTTTCTGCTTGTCCATCAGAGGGCGGCAAAGCTACTCCGCGACCTGGAGCCTCTCCAGGGGGCTGCTGACCCCACTGGAGCAGTTTCCAAGCCCAGCAGGTCCTACCTCACCAGCATCACTGAGTCCACAGCACTTCTCGCTCTCCAGGCTGCGCACTCTGGACTCTGTGAGTTCCTCCATGCAGCCTGACCTCTGCCCACCAAAGGCCAGTCCTCTGCAGGCAGCTCTTCCCCACCACACTCTGTCCTTCAAGGGGTGAATGGCCTTTCACACTTCAGAAGTGCTCTCTGAGATTCACAGTCCAGCAGGTACATGCTCTGGACACACCAGACCTTTTTCTTCACTGCCCTTCTCATGATTTTGATTAAGTCTTCGGTGCTGTGATTTCTCTGGGAACATGTCTTTGTTACAAGGCAAACTCCATGAGCAACAGGTCTCACCTATGTCCTATTCTCTGAGTTCCCAAGGCCCATCCCAGGGCCTGACACATCACAGTGCTCAGTAAAGACTCATTAAATGATGAGGGAAACCACCCAATGGAAGCCTGTCACCTGTGTGATGCTTGCAATGCCAGCATTTTCCTTATCAACATGAAGACATTGCTGTCAGCCTGAGAGGAGGCCAGCAAGTGCCTGGGGATGTCCCAGGGTTGGGTCTTTTTAAAAAATATATATTTTAATTGATTTCAGAGAGGAAGGGAAAGGGAGAGAGAGATGGAAACATCAATGATGAGAGAGAATCATTGATCGGCTGCCTCCTGCATGCCCCACACTGGGGATCGAGCCCGCAGCCCAGGCATGTGTCATGACCAGGAATCAAATCCAGGACCCTTCAGTCCGCAGGCCAACACTCTATTCACTGAGCCAACCTAGCTAGGGCCTGGGTTGGGTCATTACCCCACTTACAGCCAGGAGGGAGGACAGGCCCTTGGGTAGATTGGGGATCATTCACAAGGTGTGATTTTAAGGGAATAAAGGGAGATCTGACCTCTCACTGTTAGCAGATCCCTGACCTGGCAGACACCTGGATCCTCCACCCCAGGTAGAGTTACTACTAGGGGAGGAGGGTGCCCACACTGAACTCAAAGGAATTAGGGGATAATTCCCCATCCCCAAGGTCCCTGGACTGTGGTACACCTGCCTATCATCCCTAAAGACATCTCATCAGCCCATGGTGTCCTGGGAGACTTCCTGTACAGGATGGGACAGGAGAACCCAAGATCTAGGCTTGTTTCTATGTCAGAGGGGCTGAGGGTTTCATGGGGGCTCCCCTCACCTAACACAGTGATGGCGAACCTGTGACACGCGTGTCAGAGGTGACATGCGGACTCATTTTTTTGGTTGATTTTTCTTTGTTAAATGGCATTTAAATATATAAAATAAATATCAAAAATATAAGTCTTTGTTTTACTATGGTTGCAAAGATCAAAAAATTTCTATATGTGACACGGCACAAGAGTTAAGTTAGGGTTTTTCAAAATGCTGACACGCCGAGCTCAAAAGGTTCGCCATCACTGCCCTAACAAGAACATACAGGCTTCTCTGATTAAGTCTCCACTTGAGCTACTCCAGCTCCAAGCCGTGCAGGGAGACCTACAGCAGATGATGGACAGCATCACAGATGACTTGGATGCAACACCCCAAAGCTACGATGGAGACACACAGGGCATTTGGGGGATCAGCCCTCCAAGTTCGAGACACTCTACTAAAAGCCTCAGAAGAGAATCACCAGGCCCTTCCTTTGAAAATTTTGGAAAAGAGAGCTCCTCCTGAAATAGCACATCCACCAGAGGGGGAAGT